GAGACTTAAGATTGGGAAGATAAAGAAAGCCTAAAAAAAGAAAACAATGGAGCCTGCACAATAAAAGGGAACTTCACTCTTTCAATCAACGTTTACTATTTTTGGTCCTTTTGCTGCTTGCAATAGTAAATAGATAGGAAAGTATATCATGTTTACTTGTGTTAAACTTTTTAGCACATTTCTTCAGTTACTTCCTGATTTCTAGGCCTAGGCAAATGGTGTCATACATCCCAGGAGTGAGAAGAACAGCGACCAGCCTGTTGGGGATTCAAGGGCGGGCAGAATGGAGGTACTGCAAATTATTAGAATCCGGGTATATAGTGATCCGATGAGGTGAATCCTCAAGAAGGAACCGCCATTCTTCCAGGGCTAATTTTACAGTGAGAAGTTTGCGATCTCCTATGGAGTAATTTCTCTCTGCTGTAGAGAACTTCTTCGGGACATGGCCGTTTAGCCCTACTAGGTGATTGGAAAAGAATGGCCCCCAACTCCTACAGAAGAGGCATTCACTTCGATGGAGAAGGGCTTGAAGACATCAGGCCTCAGGAGAGCAAAGTCAGAGAGGAAAGCCTGCTTTAAGGCATGGAAGGCCTCCACTGCGTTGGGTGGCCACTTCTTAGGGTCAGCATCCTTCCAGGTAAGGACTGTGATGCATGCAACCAAAACAGAATAGTTGCAAATGAATAATAGTTTGTCAAGCCCAGAAAGTGATGGCTAGCCTTCAAACCGCCAGGCCAGGGCCAATTGGAGATAACGGCAACCTTTTCATGGTCTAAAGAGAGACAGTCTCTGGAGACAATGTAGCCCAGAAAAGGTACTTGAGGTTATTCAAAAGAGGCATTTCTCTGCCTTAGCATAAAACATATTCTCATGAAGGCGTTGGAGGACTTTACGGACATGAAGTCTGTGCATAGGGCGATATGGGGAAAATAAAAGAATGTCATCCAGATAGACTACTACACAGATAGAGGAAGTCACAGAAGATCTCATTGACAAGGTGCTGGAAAACCGCCAGGGCATACAGAGGCCAAATCGCATTACTAGATATTCATAGTGGCCATCCCTGGTGTTAAAAGTAGTCTTCCACTCATCTTCCTCTTTGACACAAATTATATTATATTGTCCTCTTAAATAGAATTTTCTGAAAATTTGCACTTCACGAAGTTGATCAAACAACTCAGTAATGAGTGGTAGTGGGTAACAGTTTTTACCTGTAATGTCATTTAATGTCTGGTAGTAAATACAAAGACAAAGGGAACCAACTTTTTTTTTACAAAGAAAAACTACACTCCGGCGGGAAAGGAGGATTTCTGGACAAACCTCTTTTTGTGAGATTTTCTGCAATGTACTCAGACATGGCCTTGGTCTCAGGGAGATTAAGAGGATATGCCTGGCCCCCAGGGATGCAGGAACCTGGGACTAGTTCTATGGCATAATCTTAGAGTCTGTGGGGAGGAAGTTGGTCCACCTTGCATTTGGAAAACACATCCTGAATTCTGAGTAGTGCATTGACACCAAGGAAGAAACCTCAGTGGATGCCAATGGAAGGGTTTTGACTGGAACCACCTTGCCTAAACATCTGGTGTGACAGGTGGGCCCCCAGGATAACAAATAAGGGCCAGACCAGTCGATTACTAGGGATTGTTGTTGAAGCCAAGGAAGACCCAGAACTTAGAGGTGGCCAGCAGTAACATCAAAACAGAGATGGATTCCTGGTGAAGCACTCCTACCGACATCTTGATGGGAGTGGTGCAGGAATAAATAGAACCCAAGGCCAGAATGGTTCCATCAATGGCCAAAACTCAAGATAAAATTGTCTGTTGCACCAGAGTCAACTAATGCTTTTATTGAGACAGGGAAAATGGGAAAGTGCAAACAAACAGTAATAGTTGGAGGTGGACTTGAGGAGCAAGAATTACTGTCTAGCATATCCCACTCTAGGTATACTAGCCTTGGAAATTTCCTGGCCTCTGTGGGCACTGTTTCAAGAAATGTCCCTTTTGTCCACAGTAGATGCACAATCTCTGAGTCTGACAGTGGTTCCTTTCCTCAATGGATAGGCTTGAATGGCCCGGTTGCATAGGCTTTTCTTGAGAGGAGGAAGAGGAGTTTTTAGGAGGTACTAAAGGGTGTTGGAAAGTTGGAGCCAGGCAAGGATCTGAGAATTTGCGCTGTCAAGCCCTTTCCTGGGAGGGCTCCTGAAAATGGGTGTTGATCTGGATGGCCAAAGAAATGAGATTTTCCAGGATGGTAGGAATTTCTCGACTTGCCAACTTGTCTTTGATACGTTCTGCCAAACCTTGCCAGAAGGCCGCCGTAAGTGCTTCATTATTCCAGGAAAGTTCAGCTGTTAGGGTGCGGAACTGAATGGTGTTTTGTCCAACAGTGAGGTGGCTTTGACAGAGGAGAAGCGCGGCTGCAGCAAAGGACGCATGGCCAAGCTCATCAAAATTTTTATTAAAGAGGGCGAAAAATGCTGTGATATCATTGGTTACTGTATCAACCTTTTCCACGGTGGAGAGGCCTATGCCAAATCCTCTCCAGAAAGCAGAGAAATCACGTATGCGACCTTGGCCTGGCCAGAAGGAAAATTCTGTGGCTGTAACTCAAAGTGAATGTTACATTGGTTAACAAACCCACGGCAGGCCGTAAGATCTCCAGAGAATTGCAGCGGAGCCGGAAGATGAGCATTGGACAAACCAGAGTAGTTTGTGGCCTAGGGCTGGCTGAGGTAAGTCTGCAGATGCCGGAAACAAAGCTTGGAGTTGATACAAATGGGTGGTTAGTCTGGAGATGACGAATAACTTGAACTTGGCTAGATTCTTAAACACTGAGCCTTGGGAGAAGTCACTTGTTGAAATCTGCAGATGATAGGGATTCATCTGTCATGGTGCAAGCAAACTGTCATGGTTAGAGGATAAGACCACCTGGAACTGTAAACTCAAGATATAGCAGGCCAGTGGAAACAACTAAACAGATGTACAGGGTACTGGTCCTTGCAGATGCAGGAGCAGTGTGACCGCACGCAATTGGTGGTGTATCAGAGTCACAGGATCTAAGAAGCCACCCAGTCTCCACCAGAACCACTGGATGTGTGGATATTGTACTGCTTGACAGCCCCCAGGTTGTGGTTCTCTAATACACCCATGCAGGCACAGTGCAACCAAATAGCATGCTGGAAGGACATGGGTTACACACAGGCTACTAGGAACCAAGTTAACCTATCCAGTAAGCTAGGAAGGGGCACCAGGGGAGAGGACACAGGGAATAAGCGTAAAATGCAGGAGAGTGAGGGATGCTGAGCAATGGTGCAGACAGAGAGACTCGGCAAGCTGGAAAGGGCAAACAACAACAGGAAACTGTTGAGAAGGATGCAAGGACAGAAACCAAAGGGAATATAACTGCACAGTCAGAGGGAAAACACTGAGAACAAAGACAGAATCCAACCAAGGAACTAGAGGGGTCTGGATTCCATGTGAAGATACATTGCACCTATGTGATTTTGTTCGAGCAATGTATCTTCACATGGAACCAGAGGGGTTTGGCTTCCATGTGAAGATACATTGCTCGAACACTAACACACAGGTGCAAATGCTTAATAACACCAGGGTTCAGGAGGGATAGGCAGGAACCCGGGCAACTCAGACAGGAGGAAAAACCTGGCGCTGGATCGATGTGCATGAAAGCGTGACAGGAACACTGATTTTGCAGTGAGGGACAAGACTAATAGCATCAAAATGTGCCGTGGCAACTGGCTGGTGTGGCATAATTGTGTTAACAGTAGGCGGGGCTTAATATGTAAGCCTACATGCAAAGTGCAGGAGTCAGAAGAATGTAATGTACGAAGCACAGTGGTCAAGGGTGGGTAACGTACATAGTGCTGAGGTATAAGGTGGGTAAAATACATAGTATAGGGTCTAGGGTGGGTAACGTACTGTACATAGTGCAGAGATCTAGGGTATGCAAGGAACATATTGCAGGGGTCAGGTGTATTATGTACAGAGAATGAGGGTCAAAAGAGGGTAATGCACAGAATCCAGTGGTCATGTGTATGTAATATACATACAACATACAAAACACACCGCATACACATACTGTAAATGCAACATACATACACACAGACTACATACATATACATGCATACAGCATAGAAATAAATATACAAACACTTGCCTCTCCACTGGCATCTTTAGTTCTTCGTGTTCCTCTTGGCAGTAACCGGGACTCAGTGATCGTCAGTGAAGCTGAGAGGGGAGAGATCTGTATGTAAACAACACAGATCTCTCTCCTGTCAGCATGGATGTGCTGCTATCTCTCTGCACAGCAGAGAGAGAGAAAGCAGCAGGTCTGCTAAGTAAAACAGCAAACAGCATACAACAAAAACATTCCCTAACACACAGTTAACCCTTTGATTGTCCCAGATATTAACCCCTTCCTGCCCAGTATCATTAGTACAGTGTCAGTGCTTTTTATTAGCCTGATCACTGTATTAGTGTCACTGGAGTTGTGGCAGTTAGTCAGTTCCCACCCAGTGTCAGAATGCCCGCTGCAGTCCCGCTATAAGTCGCTGATTGCTGCCATTACGAGTATAAAAAAATAAATAAAAATTCCATTATATATACCACTATTTATAGACGCTATAACTTTCACATAAACCAATTAATATATACTTACTGGGATTTTTTTTTGAGCAAATACATGTAGTAGAATACATTTTGACCTAAATTTATGAAAACATTTTTTTTTTAATTGGACATGTTTTATAGCAAAAAGTCAAAAATATATTTTTTTTTCAAAATTGTTGGTCTTTTTTTGTTTATAGTGCAAAAAATAAAAAACGCAGAGCTGATCAAATACTACCGAAAGAAAACTCCATTGTGGGAAAAAAAAATTACATAAATTTTAATATATGTAGAGCATTGTATGACCATGCAATTGTCAGTAACTTATTATATTTTTCGCTCCATAAGATGCACCTGACCATAAGACGCACCTAGGTTTTAGAGGAGGAAAACATGAAAAAAATACTCTGAACCAATAGACTGCAGACATAGTACAGGAAATGACCAGAGACTGCGGATGTACTACAGGAAATGACCAGAGACTGCAGACGTACTACAGGAGATGACCAGAGACTGCGGACATACTACAGGAGATGACCAGAGACTGCGGACATAGTACAGGAGATGACCAGAGACTGCGGACATACTACAGGAGATGACCAGAGACTGCGGACACAGTACAGGAGATGACCAGAGACTGCAGACATAGTACAGGAGATGACCAGAGACTGCGGACACAGTATAGGAGATGACCAGAGACTGCGGATATAGTACAGGAGATGACCAGAGACTGCGGACATAGTACAGGAGATGACCAGAGACTGTGGACATAGTACAGGAGATGACCAGAGACTGCGGACATTGTACAGGAGATGACCAGAGACTGTGGACATACTACAAGAGATGACCAGAGACTGTGGACATAGTACAGGAGATGACCGGAGACTGTGGACATAGTACAGGAGATGACCGGAGACTGCGGACATAGTACAGGAGATGGTCAGAGACTGCAGACATAGTACAGGAGATGACCAGAGACTGCAGACATACTACAGGAGATGACCAGAGACTGCGGACACAGTACAGGAGATGACCAGAGACTGCGGACACAGTACAGGAGATGACCAGAGACTGCGGACACAGTACAGGAGATGACCAGAGACTGCGGACACAGTACAGGAGATGACCAGAGACTGCAGACATAGTACAGGAGATGACCAGAGACTGCAGACATAGTACAGGAGATGACCAGATACTGGAAGCGGATTTGCCCTCCCTCCCTCCCCGTAGTCTTTTGGGACACGTGACAGGTCCCAAAAGACTACGGGACCATTCACAAATCACAGCGCTTCTCGTGCATGCGCAGTGGGCACCCGGCTGTGAAGCTGCAAGCTGTCACAGCCGGGTGCCCACACTAAAGATGACGGTGCCAGGGAAAGAAGATGGCTGGTGAAACTCTTTCTCTCTTCTGCCACAGAAGAGCCGGCCCGGTATTCAAACACAGCAGCAGGGAGGAGGGGGTGTTAAGTCCTGGTCAATATTCGCTCCATAAGACGCACAGACATTTCCTCCCATTTTATGGGGGGGGGGGAAGTGCGTCTTATGGAGCAAAAATAGGGTAATTGACAATACCGCTACTCATCTAATGTGAAAAATAAATCGTCCTTCTTTACATCTAAAAAAGTGTGTAATTGTTCAATATATCCTTCAAACGTGCATTTTTGTCTTGAAGCCTTTTCCCAGAAATGTTATCCTTCCCTGGGGGGAAATACTCCGCTCCCCCCAGGGGCGTCATAAGTGAGTTATATTTCCATCCTTTTTGCTTATACAACCCATCCCAAACATTTAAAACTCTTTGTCAGTGAACTAATATTCACATCTACCGCATATTACGGCCCAAATATTGCTGAAACTGACCTATATATTGGACTACTGCACATGCTTACCTAGATTGCCATAAGGGACCTCTGACTGTTACTTGGATTATCTTGAACTGTTTGACCCGGAGCAGTTGCAGCTGTTCCCCCTTTTTTCCCTACCCATCCCCCCCCCCTTTTTTTTCTCTGTCTCTCTCCTCTCTCCTTCTTCTTGTCTCTCTATTTCTCTCCCCCTCTTTCTTCTCCTTTGCTCTATCCTACATTCTCAACATTACCTTCCCATTTCTCTGAGTTTAGATGAACTTAGAATACCAGCAGACCCACAGGTTCAACTGCAGCGCCTCAGCATCCGCCTCAAGGGGTGGACGCCCAAATATCCACTGTTCTCACCCTCCTCTCACTGTGTATTGCAGCACATTTTTTATTTAAAGGGGATCATATGAGGATTGGCTGATTTCTGTACCTAACTGTTCTGTTCGCTTTATTCTATGTCGGTTTTTGTTTGGAACATGTTCTCTTCTTTTTTTTTTTTTATATATCTTCTTAATTCAAGCATTGCTAATTGATGAAACTATATGTGCTTCAGATGTATTTCCCGTCAGGGATACGGGCATTTACTGAGTTTTATACTGTACATGATCTGAATGTAACCTGTATATGTTATCATTGTGCCTCTTTTCTCAATAAAATTGTTATTGATAAAAAAAAAAAAGAATATTCACATCTAATGTTGAAAATTATGTGGTATCATCTTCCCTAACTGTGCCCTACTCAAAATCCCTTCCATATTCACCCAACCTTTCCCTTGTGCATTAAATGTCCAGTCTATTATACGTGATAGTATCACCGCTAAGTAGTATTTCTTCCTGTTAGGCAAACCCAGGCCCCCATTCCCTTTTGCTATACACAATACCTCATAATTCATTCTCGATTGAGTATCAACTTCTTAATCATCCCAAAAAATGATCCTGGAAGGTGTACTGGTAGCATATGAAACTTATGTGACGGGAGTGACTTTTGGGGTGGGGGGACCCCTGTATCATCTTCCCAAATCCCTCTTATGTGTAAGGCACCCTGTGCCTGTTAGGGGTGCAGGGTGATCTGTCCTAATATTGTGTAGACATGTTTAGGTGGGGGATGGGGGTTGTCCATTGTTTACTGCCACAGGGTTGTTCCATTGTTCTACTATGTGTCTTGGTTCGGTGGGGGGTGTTACCAGCAGCCCTTCCCCCTGATGGGACGGCCTGCTGATGTGTTTCCTGTTCCTGGTTGTATTTCCCCAAACTGTGTATATATCTTGTGTTTGTGTTAAAATAAAGCAGTTCTACTTCCTGTCTTAAGGTGTGTGGTGCTGTCTATTTCCTGTTTGGTCAGCGGTGGTGTCCGGGGATCTGTGTTCAGGCAGTCTAATGGAAATACCCTAGCGCAGTCGGGGTCTGGTTCCATTACATTGGTGGCAAGCGGTGGGATTGTGCTTCCAAGCTGTGAACACATCCAAACCACGACCGGGATTCAAGATCAGGAAAAGAGACGTCGGTCACCCCAGTGAAGACATGGACCTGGCATCAGAGTTCCCAGGGCTGCTGCAGACTGTTCTTGCAACATACCCCAGGACTGTGTCTACGGATCAGTACCTGGAGTTCAGGCAGCGGTTTTGGTAGGTGCTTTGGAGAGGAACCCTCCAGGCTGCTCGTATGGACAAAGGCAAGAGCTATCCAACCCCAGGGGAACGGGCCAGGGACCATTGGAAGTTACTTATGCCATTCCTGGGAGAGCGACCTCAGGAGCAATGGGTGACTGAGTTGGACAGGCTGGTCCAGCAGGAGATAGAGCTGGACAACAGATATCAGGCTTTGCAATGGTACGCAGAGCAGGAATATTTAGGGGTGTCAACAGAGTGCTCTCCTGAGGGATATGACTTTCGTGGCCCCGGATTGCTGTGGGAGAGCCTTACAGATCATTTTGTGTTTGGCGATGAAGGAGAACCTACCCTGGAGGAGTTGCGAGAAGGCAGAGAGGCTATGTTCTGTCTCAAAGGGGTCTCAGAGCTTGAACCAGATCTGGAATACCTACTGAAGAAAGAACTGCATCTGGAAAGGGCATACAGGCAACTGCTAAAACATGTTAGGCAGCATGCCCAAGAATCGGCAGTGAAAATTGCAGAGACTTGGGATTTGATAGACTTCTCTGCTGAGGAAAAACAACCTGGTAAGCCTCAAGCAAAAGACCTGGCAACAGGGCCAAACATTACTGAACCCTGCCCAGCACTAGTAACATCTTCTGAGTTCCACGGACAGGAGATGGTGAACCCCTATCCCCAGACATCAGTTCAAGAGGCTGGGGATTTGATTGACTTTTCTGCTGAGGAGGAACCAGCCAGCACGCCTCCCGCAGAAGAGCTGGCATCAGGGCATGGCCTGGTTGACCTCTGCTCACAACAATCAGCACCGCAGGAGCTACAGGAAGAGGATGCAATCGACACCTCACAATGGCAGCTTGAGCTGATGTCCATGGATGGGACTTCGGTCTCCACTGACACAACCCAAGAAAAGGGTCTGGCATTGGGACAAGAGGATGTCAGTCTTACTTTGCGAACACTGGGGGATGTCCATCAAGTCAAAGTGGATGAGACTACAGTTGCCACCTGGATACTGGGTGCCTCTTCTTCAGCCATAAAGCCACACCACTTTCCTGTACTTTTGGAGTAACTTGTCACTTTCAAAATTACCACCATCTGTTACTTGGGCTGTCACCTAGGAAGTCACATGAGTTGTCACAGGGACACTCTCACCGTCCCCTTTGTCCTCCAATGCTGCCGCCTCCTGCTCCCGTGGGACTGCCAAGCCTCGCTGACCTGCCGCCTCTCCTAGGGGCACAGGTCCAGACTCCACCGACTGCCACCGGAACTACCGCTAGGATGCCCGGACTCGGATCTGCCACGATTCTCCACTCCACTCCCGTTCAAGCTCTCAATGTAGTACAGGGCTCCAGGTGGTCGATAGAGCAGATCAGGACAGGGCTGCACAAATGGCTAGTGGGTGCCTGGAGCTCACGCTGCTCACGCTGCTGACGGCGCCATGTTCTGGCCCCTCACCCAAAACATGGTAATGTGCATGTTCTAGGTGCCTGTAGGGATGGTGTTCTTAGGGTCATAGTCAGTATTTTTCTTCCTCTTGATGTTTTGATAATGTGTGAATAATACTAATTGCAGACTGCTTTACAAAGAGTTTGATAAGAGGTAAAAACATGCTCCAAACTCCTGCTTATAATGCCAGTGTGAAATGGGCCTAAGGCTTGGTTCACACTTATGCAGTTTGCTTTTGATCCATCTCTGAAATCCTTTTTGCTGTGCGTTTTGCATTTTTGCACATGCGTTCGACACATTCATGCATTTTTTAAGCTTTTTTTTTTTTTCAGCCAACTTGTTGCTGGTCAGATTAAAAAATGCAAAACCATCAAAAACACACTACATGCTTTCCCCTAGCATCACCATTGGAGTCTGTTTTACCAAAAATGCACCGTGTTGCTGTTAAAAAAGTCCCTGACTCTTTCCAAATTGCAGCAGCTGAAAAAAGAATAGATGTGAACATGTCCCATAGGAAACCTTGTTAAATGGACTGTAGTGTTTCTGCAAAAAGCACCAAAAAAACGCATTGGTATGAACCAGACCCAAGACAAGATTCCCTCAGTCTCCTGGACTTTCTTGTTTGTCTTAGCTGTCCTAGTCTTTCAGACCCTCTGTCTCCCAGAATCTCTCAGCTGTCCCAACTCTCTCAACCCAATGGACTTGGAAGCTCTCCAACATATAGTGCTGTTTCTTGAGTAGAGCACCCCTGTCTTCCAACAGCATCACACACCTGTCTTCAAAGGGGAGCACACCTCTCTCATGGTTGGGGCTGTGATCTCTACTCAAGTCCTGCTTATAAGGAGTGTACCAGGGGTGGACTGACCATTTGGAAACTCGGGCCCTGCCC